TCTGTTGTCTGAGGGTCTCCTCCAGATGATCCACTGCTCTCACCACAGTCCCCTCATATGATGGTGGACAGACTCTGACCTCTGTCCAGTCCTTGGTGGGTGGAGCTTCTTTCAGGGAGGGGTAGTTTTGAAGAAGGTGGAGGTGGTCTTCAGAGAGAGAGAGCTTCTCCACCTCAGTGCTCTTCTTCTTCAGCTCAGAGATTTCCTCCTCCAGCTCTCTGATGACATCTTCAGCCTGTTTCTCTGCTGCCGTCTTTTTGTCCTCCACCTCCTTGATGAACTGGTTCAGACCTCTGTCCACAGACTCCTTCAGAGCAGTGAAGACCTGAACACCTGCTGCCATCTCTCTGTCTGCTTCATCCTGACTCACCTTCACTGCACCTCTGATCTCCTCAATCTTCACTCTTCTCTCCTGGATCATCTTCTGAACTTCAGCTCCTGTGGTCTTCAGCTCCACCTTCTTTTCTTCATATTCTTCCTTCAGAGGAACAAACTGATGATCCCTGTGATCTAAAGCAGGACAGACCAAGCAGACACATGTCTGGTCTGTCTTACAGAAGAGCTCCAGAAGTTTATCATGCTTGGTGCACATCCTGTCCTCCAGATTCTCCACAGGATCAATCAGCTGATGTCTTCTCAGACGTGGAGCTGTCAGGTGATGTTCCAGGTGAGTCTCACAGTAGGAGGCCACACAGACCAGGCAGGACTTCACAGCCTTCACTTTGGTTCCAGTGCAGACGTCACAGAGAACTTCTCCTGGTTTTTCGGAAACTGGTTTTTCTTGACATCTGAACTGAGCGGCCATCTCAGAGATCATAGTGTTGATCTTCATCTGAGGTCTGGTGTTGAAGACCTCATTACACAGTGGGCATTTGAACAGGACACTGTTGTCCCAGTGGGTGCTGATGCAGTTTTTGCAGAAGTTGTGTCCACATGGTGTAGAGACTGGATCAGTGAAGACCTCCAGACAGATGGAGCACAGGAACTGATCTTCTCCCAGGTTAGCAGCAGCAGCAGCAGCAGCAGCAGCAGCCATGTCTACACAGTAGGAGCAACAGTGACAGTGTTAAAAACACCAACAGGATTCAAACCAAATTCTCCACCAGTGTCTCTGAGACCAGAAGAACAAGGTTGGACAGAGAGGACAGTATCAACGAAAGACAACAAGTCTCACAGCAGTGTCCAGGATCTAGGTTTCCTGGTCTACAGAGACCTGAGCTTGTTGAGTCACACCAGAAGAGTGTAGTTTTAGGTTCAAATCTACAGAAACTCATCAGCTGTGAACTTCTTCACTCACCTTCTCAAACTCCACTGTTTTCCAACCAAAGACTTTAGAACTGCTTCAAATCTTTTCGACAAAACTCAGAGAGTCGATGTGAACACAGCCCTGTTGTTTGTTTCTGACACTTTCTCTTTCACTTTCTGCAGTTTTACTGTGTCTGTTTAGGTTTACTGTCTCCCTCTTCTGGACACACAGGGGGAATGCAGCCAAGTTAACTAATCTTACCGACTAAACACCGTCACCCACCTACATCTACCATTATCAATGGAATGTCGCCCTAGCATTACCATTAAAACAGTTTGTCACCAAAAAGGTTCAAAGTGTAACATTAGTTTTAAAAACATTCATGTTAGAGATGTGGAAAAGCATTGAGTCAGGTTGTTGTTGTTCTAATGATTTGTAACTACACAATTATGAATTCTCTAAAACGTGTAAAAAAGTCCTGAAAATATTTGTTACAGTAATGAAATGACTGCAATTATGTGTATATTCTGTGTTAATAAAGAAGAAAAAACGTGGATTGTCAAAATCATCCAAATAACATGACTTGGCCTAAAATGGCAAATATACCTCTATGAGAAATATTAGTTTACTAGAATAATCTATGATTACATTATTACTATATACTTAAATGTATAAATAATTCAGTTTGTCAAAACTGTTAAAAATAACATAATAAACTTTATATAAATACAAATTGCATAATTAAAGAAAATCTAGAAGAAAATGAAATGTCCCAGAAATGATTCAAAAAGCCAAAATCAGCCACAGTGTTATCCTCAATGTTTAATTTGTACCAAGAAAAGCCAAAAGTCATGAAATATTATTTCATCACAAATGATCAAAAACAGAAAAACTACTGTACAGTAAACTGTCCTTCATGAATGTCATGAAATACATTGTCAAAAAATCCAAAAGGAAAAGAAGAAAAAATATATATAATTACTATTATTATTATTTATATTTTATTATTATTATTATTATATTAAATTGCTGCGGTCGCATTTCCTCTCCTGTACACACGATGGCAGCAGAAGACCGACACCTCTACGCCAACACAATCACGTCACTGGAGCGCGCAGAGAGAAAGAAGCACTGCTCAGTGAACGCGCACGGACATTAAATCGGCAAGATTAGTAAAAAAGGGATTCGTTTTTCCTCCAGCGCTGGAAGATGACTGTGTTTTGTTGAGTGTAACAACATGGGGCGACTGTTCCACTCTCCTGGATACTAATGAACCAATCTGAGGAGGACGGTCTGGAAGAATGTTTTAACTGTCCCTGTGCCCGTATTTTGTTGTTATATTTCTTTTGGGGTTGAAAAAAGCTCAGAGGGTCGTCGCTCAGGGCCAGTGGGTCGGACTGCAGTTAAGACAACGGTCGGTTTTTTTCTTGACTGTTTCACACCGGGAACATACATTTAAAAACGCCTTTGTGTGGATTTGAGCAGGGCACGTGTTTAGTTTATATTTAAGCCGTTTATTTCGGTCTAACAATGACTGTTGGTGCGCGAGTGAGCGCTGTTCCTCTCGAACAGCTCAGAACAGTGACAGGCTAAGCTAGGTTTAGGAACCTAACTCTGTCCACGACTAAATCCACTTCATGTGGACTCAAAACTCGTGTTCCTCCCATCACCTGTGTCCGCAAGTCAACAGAGCAATTTCATTTGTGAACTTTGTCCGTGGATGCTCCTGGACCCAGTATGTCATTCTTTAATTTTCGTAAGATCTTCAAACTGGGTGCCGAGAAGAAGAAGAAACAGTACGAGCATGTGCGCAGAGATGAGAACCCAGAGGAAATCTGGGCAATCATTGGAGAACTGGGAGATGGAGCCTTTGGGAAGGTCTTCAAGGTGAGTGATCATCCTGCTGTTTGTTCTCACTGTTGTGTTTGGATGATGAGACAGACAGTCTGATGACGAGTGCGTGTCTGTGCCTGTGCAGCCTGCTCCGAGTTATTGTCCACCGTTTGTTATTGACAAACCCCCCCCAACCCCCCCAAAAAAACAAAAACAAAACAAAAAACCCCCAAAGAATAGGAAATCATTTTGGATGTAGTGATTCGTCTTCTAAATTTATATCCCCTCTATTTTTTTTTCCATTTTTAATGTACAGCAGCTGGTCAAAAATAAAATTTAAACATTGTTTAATGTAATACAACATTTTGTTTCAACACTTTTGTTATTTAAATGGTCTACGTTCACCTTCTGGTGTGAGTTTAAAGTAATGCACAACCTCTGGAAAAAGCTTGGAAACTTAAAAATATAATGATTTTAATTTAAATATTCTATTATTTTAAGATTTTTTTATGTTTTTTTACATTTGGTCAACATGTACTTATATTATGTAGTAATTGAAAAGCCAAAGTTCACCCAGTGACCAACAACTATCTGAAGATAAATTTGTATACATTTAAAAATAATTTTGTTTTATTTTAAAAAAATACAGTTTTCTCTAGGATTTTTGAAGATAAATTTGTATACATTTAAAAATCATTTTGTTTTATTTAAAAAAAATACAGATGTGATCATCATTTAATGACGAACTGGTCCATTGAGATTTGGAGTAACCAAATAGGAGGGGATCAAAAAAGTGTGAGTTTTAATGTTGAAGGTAAAGAGTTGTTGAGTTTGGAGAAAGGTGAGTTTGAGATGGTTTATGTTGAAGCAGAGATCATGTATTCCACAAACGTACTCTGCTTACAATGATTTGATTCCAGTCACACATACATCAATCCTAATCTTCTTGCAAAGTGATTATGTCACAGATGGTGAGTTTCCCATCAGCCCTCTCTTAGGCTCATGTGAATCAGACTTAGTGGTTTTAGAGACAGGAGACATACCCAAACAGATCAGCATTTGTGTTCCTGGCACCAAGTCCTTTCTTGTAAGATATTTCGTTTGTACACTTGTCTTGCTGTTGAGTTTGTAATAAATGTTTTTTTGTTTTGTTTTTTTCCTTAAAGTGGACTTGGCTTTTGTGTTTAGGAGTAAAGGTTTTAAGGTAATAGTCTATTCGTGTCTCCCTCTGTTCAGTCCCCCTCTGTGGGAGGACATAGACGGAGCAAAACTATGGTCTGTTTCAATTATTATAACATGACAAAAACAATTACCGAAATATTGACATCACTGGTTGATGTATTTACATATTTTTCAGAAATCACGGGCTATGATATTGCACAGATGCGCGCGATGCAGAACGCTGTGACAGACTCCAGTGTGTAGTTAATTCCAGTGCAAAAAAATTAGGTCCAAACTGATTCAATATAAAACAAATAGACTATTAGTTTTTCTGTTTATCTATAATTCATTTAAGCTGAGAAGGTGAGGATGACGACTAAAATATTTGAGCACCGTTCTCCTAAATACTCAGTTGTGTTTCTTCTCTGCTTCTTGTCTGTGTGTAACACACCAATCGAGTGCGTGTTATATAATATAAGGCGGTTTTGTTCGCAGTAAAGAATGTTTTCCGACAGCTGTGTTTTCAAACACTTTTCAAAGTGACCTCAGAAACATGGAGGTCACCAGGAAGTGGTTCCATCCCAAATCACTGGGGGAACTTCAGTGAACACATCCTGTCTGCAGGGTGGCCAAAACAAGGAGTAGAAGTTCCCTCTGCAGTGAGACATGTCCCATGTCTGTGCTGACTTACAGTGACTCAGAGCAGAGTGTGACTTAATGTCCTATCATAAAGATTGAAGCTGTTGTGGTAAATCCAAGGGAGGTAAAAGTGGCAAGTACTCTGCTGAATGTGCCCCCAGTTCGGTGGGGGCAAGACAGGGGTGTGTGAAGACACAACATGGTTGCTGATATTTTTCAATGTTATTTGTGAGTTCCAGTCCTTTTCTGTCTCCACCCATGCTAATGCTGTCAGTCTACTTTGTCCAGTCGTATTTATGGCATAGGTTTTAATTAGCTTTTGGCTGAGAATGTCAGCTCAACTGAAGCAGTGGAGAAAACTGAAAGTCATCCTATCAAATTGAACAATTTGAACAAAACACCAACATAACTGTAGACCTGCTAGAAGGCCTAGCTGTGACCAACTCAAAATCTGACTGGTTAAAGAAACCATTTCATTGTTATTCATTTTAGGTTCCCACAACACCAACACCAGTAATTCTGAAGGCATTAGGGCAGATTTCTTTCAACCTGGCAACACAAGGCAAAATATAGGAAATGTAATTTGATATAAAATAAAAATGTATACCCAAAGCAGTGCAACAAATATGTTCATGATAAATACATTGAAAATTAAGTCACTGATTCTGAGTCTGTTTAGGCCAGCAGAGAAGGCTTTGCTGATCTTGAGAGCTGATCTTTACTACAGTGACATGACCTAGTCATGGGATCATCTTCAGATGTATTATATAGTAATTTAAACCTTTAACTTCACCACAGACATTTAGCAAACGTCTCTCTGGTACTGTCTCCATTCTGCAGGCCCAGAACAAACAGACCGGCATCCTAGCTGCAGCCAAAGTGATTGACACCAAGACGGAGGAGGAGTTGGAGGACTACATGGTTGAGATCGACATCCTGGCCTCATGTGATCACCAGAATATTGTCAAACTGCTGGATGCTTTCTATTATGAGAGTAAACTCTGGGTGAGTAAAGAGAGCACTGGATGCTGCTGCTGTCTTCCCTCTGTAACCTTGCTGTGGTACCGACATCACTATTCATACAAGTACATGTAGCTGTGTTAAGGT